GAGAACGACGATATCGACAATCGTCAAAAATAAAGACATTATTAAATTTGCTAACGTTGCGAAAGGGGTTTAATCAATTTCTAAACAGAGATCGAAAACATTATATCATGTCGAGAAATTGCTTTTGCTTTGGATAACTGAAAAACAGTGTGCCGGCGACAGCGTATCGGAACAAATTATTTGCGAGAAAGTTAAAAGGATACATGCTGATCTCATGATATATATATATTGTCCTGGCCTGTTTTCAATACTTTGTATTAATTGTAATATCTTTTTGACAAATAAAAGAAGTGGATGTTAATGTAAAATTTTATTAAAATTACTTTAAACAGGGGCGTAGGTTGTATATTTTATGAAATGGCTAAAGGAAAACCATTATTTCCTGGTTCGACTGTTGAACATCAGCTACATGTAATTTTTCAAATGCTGGGAGTTCCAAATGAGGAGATTCCAAATATTAGCAACAATGAAATATTTCAGAATTACGAGTTTCCAAAATATAAACCTGAGTCTCTTGAACAGAAAGTTCCAAGACTTGATACAGATGGTATCAATTTATTAACAAATTTGTTAAAGGTAATTTAACTTTTAACTGTAAATTTTTTATTTGTAAGATTTATTACATATGCTCATTTTTCAATTTTTAGTATGATCCTAAACAACGAATTGGTGCAGCAGAAGCATTGGAACATTCTTATTTTGATGATTTAGGTCCAAATATTCGTAAACTTCCTGACAGTGAGTACAGTTTTTATTTTCTAATAATAATATAAATTATTTAAATTAATTAAATTAATACTTTACAGCTGCATCAATTTTTACTATCCCAGGAATACAATTGAGAGAAAACCTTTGCAGAAGACCATCGACTGCTCCAATATTGGGTAATTATATTACATCAACAATTAAGTTTCTAATAAAAAGACGTTTCTAGATTTAAATTCATATTAGAGTAGAGGGGAAAAAAGATATACATAAAACAGATCAGCAATATAAAAATATGAAACTGATATCAGTTTTCATACAAACTAATGATTTATTATCTAATATAACACTGATTTTTCACCACCATAAACTTGAAACAGTTATTCTAGACCATTACTCTAATCTAAATGCTTCCTTCTTGGATGAATGTGTTCCACATGCTTGGCTGAACATCAACATCAGTTTCCATTGATGTAAATTTAAACAATGTTACAAACTTTGTTTTTGCTCAAGGGTCTACAAGAGACCTGTGGCAACAATTTCTATGTGCACATTTTAACAAACCAAACTTGCAGAAGTCCATGGGAAAGGCATCAGGTGCTTTGACAAGTAAAGAATAAAATGGGATTCCAAATACCTGTCTTAATTGCTCTCTGTTCCATATACAAGGACTGTTCAAAAAGTTCCGAACTTTTTGAATAGCACACCTCCACTTGGTTATTTTTTAATTTGCTTGGAGGCATTGTGTCCACAGAAACCTCTCAAGTAACCTCCTTCAATCTGTTTGTTGATATCTTGTTTTGATGATTAGTTACAGCTATTTATGTAAAGTGATGTTCGTGAAAAATCGGATCTGCAGAAATGAACTCTTTGAAGAAGCAGTGTTGTTCTATGAAACCAGAATTCTGTGTGAAACCAGGGAAATCCATCATGGAAACTTTTGAGTTGATTACCAAGACACAATGGGTGGGTAAGATATTCTCCACCCCAAAAATGCTTGAGAAGTTTGCTCAAATGTTAAGGTGATGTTGAGAGTATTTTTTTTTTTTGATGCAAAGGGGTTGTGCATCATGATGCTTGTGCCTACAGGCCAGACAGTCAACATGGAGTACTACCTGGGGTTATGAAATGTCTAAGAGACAGTATCAGGCAAAAATGGCCAAAACTTTGGAGGAGTGGCAAGTGGTTTTTTTCGCCACGACAACACACCGGCTCATTTGTCCCTCAGAACTTGCGTGTTTTTGGCCAAAAACAAGACTGGGGTGGGTGGGGAAGCATAGCACTCACCTGACCTGGCCCCAAGCGACTTTTTCCTGTTCCCCAAACTAAAAAATACGCTCAAAGGAAAAAGATTTGCCACCATTCCAGAGATAGAGAAAAATTTGCCAGAGGAGCTTATGAGCATTCCAGAACTGTTTCAAAAAGTGGAAACACCATTAGGATAAGTGTATACATTGGAGAGGACCTGACCAATAAATTGTAAGTGAAGTATTTTTTTTTTTTTTTAATAAATAAGGGAACTTTTTGAACAGACCTCGTAATAGACAGTGGAATGGACAGTGTGACTTGTGGCTATGTCCTAATAGATTTGTACCATCAGACCTGTACCATCAGACCTGTACAGGTGTGGGATGTCTTCACTGTAAATATTTTACATTCTAGGGTGTGTGCTGGTAGAAATTAGCATTAGCATTTTTTTCACAAGACTATGTCTTGTTTATAAAAATCATACTGCCTGCTGTGTTACCAGCATAGAGGTAAGAAGGAGTACATGACAGGAATTGCAATTTGGCACAGATTAGGTGCCCAAATTGTGCACGCATAAAAAAAAACCAGACTTGTAGGTACTCAGAACCGAGAACTGAGTCAAAATAAAATACGAAATGGTGACTCTCTACAAACAGGCAAACCAGTCAGATGGTGAGAGTACCACCCACAATTGTTTTAGGAAGTGGACTCTGACCCTAGGACTGAACACGTAGTATTTTCTTTGTTAAATAAAATTTGTAATCTAATTTTGTAAATTTAGGAGTGCTTCAAATATGACATTAAAACAGGGTTTTATGTTGTAACAAATAGGTTTTTTAACATTATCTAGTATAGTAAAATTATGACATTATAATCAGGTTAAACTGTATATTGTTTGTGCAAAATAAAAAAAATAATTTCGGATGATACAATAGCCATGATTTTTTTTCAAAAACAGGAAATTTTCGTTATGCATCGACAAAAATTCAACCCTGGCCAACACGCAACAGATAGAAATTTTGAAATTGGATAGGTTAATTTCATCAAAAATGCATCACTTACAAGGGAACTGTCGGAGTGGCATCTAATAAATTTTAATAAAATTTAGTTAATAGTTACGTTAAAAGTATACAAACTCTATATTAAATTTGTAGTATTCACTAAAAGAGTTAATCANGTTATTAATTCTTCTCCCATTTTCGAAAATTCCAGAATTTATTCTAAATGTAATATCGCCGTCTTCCTCCGCGACCCTTTCACTTTTAAAAATCCGCATATAAAATAGTACGACATTTGATTGCTAATAACTCTGATGAACTCTTTTAGTGAATACTACAAATTTAATATAGAGTTTGTATACTTTTAACGTAACTATTAACTAAATTTTATTAAAATTTATTAGATGCCACTCCGACAGTTCCCTTGTTAGTAGTGAGTCTGTGAGACATACTCTTGTCCCAAATACCGTTTTACTTGGCATATCTTCATTTTGTCATTGTAGGAATATCCTGTTACCACCATGAAGCCTTGTTGAAAATTCTCTCATTGTTAATGCATTTAGTCAGAATGGCCTTTCCCATCTTCACCTTGGTAATAGGTGTACTTATCCAAATGTAATAAGGTATTAATACACAGCTATGCTTCATTGAGAGACAATGCAAATTTTCATCTGTTTAATCCAAAGATGGCATTTGTAAGCAATGACTTTTTGTTCTACACATGGGCTTGGTATTTTTTTATGTTTTATCCTCAAGTCCTGTTTGATTATAAGATGCATTTTTACTCTTTATCTGTGCACGTTTAGCAATATCATGTATTGCTGCAGAACTTTCATTTGTCACTAATATACAGACTTTCTACATTATAACCTTTGTATGACTATGCTCATTTCTTGGAGGTCATGGTGCCTGTTTACTACCACCTTAGAAAATTTCATTCTTATGATTTTACATATTTAACATTACATATACCTTCATATTAACCAACCTGAACAGTATAACTCCCATATTCTGGGGACCTAAATTCACCTCATATTACAATGTATTGTTTAATATGTATCAACCAAACAGCTTTATATTAAACAATACTGGTTCATGGTTTTTGTGTCTATTAATTATACTATTGATACCTCTATTGGAGATGATGAACTTTGTTTTTTGCACGATCTTTATAGCTCTACCATAGCATTAGTTTGCATCAGAAAGGACTATAATGTAGCTCTTCAAAAACAAGTTGTCTTTAGTGACATTTGAATACTCTCAATCCTTGCTTCAAAGCAGATATGGCTCAGTGCAAGAACATATAGCACTCACTATATTATAGTAGCTTCTGGCAACAGATAGTTTCAAATCTATGGAAGTGTTTTCAATCTTCTGTAAAAAGCTACAGACATGACCAAAACATAAGGATGATCCCAATTTCTAGCAATGATAACTAGAAAAAGTCACTGACCCTTCCAAGGAGTTGAGTGCTGCATCACAGTTTCATATAGACTCTCTCCATGGGTATTAGTAAGTAGTTTTCATCCATTTTCCACACATGTCCAACTACTGTATGTATCTTTTTCACCAGAGACTTACTTTTATTGTCTTAAAATCCTACAGGGTGTGTATTACTCTGTCTTAGATGTCAAGTTATACAATTCTATTCATGTACAAATGCCATGTCCTTAAGTTTTGTCTTCACTGAATCAATGAGATGTAATGTTTGAATTAAAGCAATCTTTTTTATAAAAAAAAAGAAAAGCAAAATGATATATTCAAAAGGGAACATCAAGACATAGCCTGATGTGTGTAAGATTTGCAGAACATCATGACCTCCAAGTGTGGAATGACCAGATGTTCTTTTTATTTTGATACTGGTTCAGGTGGTTTTTTTTAAAAAAATCAGGAAATGTTTTCAATCTGAGTAGGCAACCAAAAAGAAGTTTTTTGAGGACATAAAACAAAAAAATATTTATTTACTTCTAATTAGGGCATGTCTTTAAAGTTTCAGCCTTCTAAGACCCATCCTTCTAAGAGCCCAATGACAATGCATTTTAATGATGTTTTAGAGAGTAGTCCACTGTTATCACTCTCCCCATTCAAAACCCTGATTAAATTCTACATTTGATTATTTTTATTGTGTGTCTATGTCATTATAGTGATCAAATCTCAAAAAGTATGAGCAATAAAAGCAGTTTTTAAATATTATAATATTCTTTTCAGGGCCATCTTATTTCAGTCATTTGCACTTTGCTTCTAATCCCATTTTAAGACCTTAATTTTGTCAGTATAGTTTTATCTTTCATTTAACAGTCTGTATGTATGTTAAAATGTCTGATAGTAATGACTCTTCTCTCATATTTTCTGAGTTGATGGAAAATCCCCATCCTATGGAACAGAGATTTTCTATTTTCAATGTTTATATGGGAAATTGTCCACAAGCATTTGGTTTTAATTTTTACAAAGTCTCCAGGCAGATTTCGGCAGATGGGTCTGCAAATGGAACACTTGTGCTGTTATATAGAAAAGGAGGAAGAATTTTTAAGTTACATTGTCACTGGAGATAAAACTTAGATTTTATCTCTAGTGATAATGGAAGTTCATCAATTCCAACCCGAAACCAAGAAAATATGCTTTGTCAATAGGAAGTTCAAGATGTCAACAAATGCTGGATGATTGTCTTTTGAGAACTTCATGTGGTGTTCTCACCAAAGAGGATAACAGTTGCTTGTTCAAAGAAGGCTAGGCCTTGTTGTGGTTCTGCATAACAATGCATGCTTGAACACTACCAAAGACACAGTTGTTGCATTGCTGCAGAAGTGGAAGTGAGAGGCTTTGGCCCAGACTTTCACCTTTTCCCACAAATCAAGAAGCATCTCCAAAGAAAATGTTATAGGTCAGGTAATAATATTTAAGTCAAAATCTAGAAATAGCTATACTAGTCATCAGAACACTGAGATAGATGCCTCTGCAAAAATGGAGACCAATTGTACGACTTTAATGTCAATGATAAAAATAAATTATGTAACTAAATTAAGAAATAAAGTTTAGTTTTTGATATATATTTATCCCTTAACTTTCCCAATTCTCATGTAATTCATGGTGTTTAATTTTAAACATAAATAATAAATATGTAATGTAATTTGGAGCTTTCTTTTTATAAACTGAAAAACTTAAATATCAGTTACTCGGTGTACCACCAGTGCAAGAAAAAAAGTGTATGACATAATCTGCTTTAGTTTAATTCTCACATAGACTTAAGAAACCAAAAGACAAAATCATGCCATATGACCAAATTATTCTCTATACATCTTGCACAAATTCCTTTGAGAAAAACAGCACAGACATTGTCTGATCATCATGGCTGTTTGTTGAATTACCACCAAGATTCATCTCGTGTCATGCACATTTGTAGCTGTTCTACAAAAAATACAAAAATATATCTTTAATGCATTAAAAGTCTATTGGATTATTTTAACAGATAGACAGTGTAAAAGTTGTGTTTTAAAGAATCTATGTAAATATACAGGGTGTTTCAAAACTATATGTTAGAAATGTAAAGGCAGATAGAAGGGACCTAAATAAGCAGATGTCATATAGGAATGTGGGTGCAGAAATTTCACAAGAGGGCACTGTTGAGTTTGGTGGATGAAAGTACTTTGCTGGCTTGAATCATCATTTCCCGCACAGATTTTGAGCAACATGCATTGTTACACCAATGCAGAGCTTGCTGACATGTATGGGGTTTCACAAGGAAATGGAGCGGCTGCTCAAAGGATGTATATGGAGCAATTTATGGGTAGGAATCTGCCGGATCGCTGAACATTCGAGCATCTTCATTGGGAGTTGTGTGCAAGTGGATCAGCTTATGCTTCCTGGCGTGATATGGGCACCGGAAGCAGCAGTATTATGCAGAGTATAGTCCTACGACAAGCTCAAGAACTGTTGGGTGTGAGCCATGCAACTGTTTGGAGGACTTTACATGAAGACAGGATGCACCTGTATCATTTGCAGAGAGTGCAAGTACTGACCCCTGCCGATTATCCTCTGCATGTCAACTTTGCCCACTGTTACCTACAGCAGGCTGCAGCCAATGCCACCTTCCCTGCAGATATTTTATTCACTGATGAGGCTACCCATAACTCTCACCTTTGGGCAAATGATAACCCACATGGCTACCAAGAAAGGTTTTCCATTAATGTTTGGGCAGGCATTGTGTACAACAACTTAGTAGGACCATACATTCTACCTAGTCGTTTAACCAGCCACACATACGGCATCTTCCTACAAGAGGTCTTACCTGAACTTCTGGTCTGTCTTCCTCCAGCTGTTCGCACTCGAATGTGGTTCCAGCACAACGGAGTCCTAGCTCACTCCAGTAGGAATATCAGGAATCACCTGGACACTGTCTATGGCCAGCATTGGATAGGATGGGGCAGACCTGTTCCTTGGCCACCGCACTCCCCAGATTTGACATGCTTGGTTTTCTTCTTTTGGGGTCACATTAAGAGCACTGTGTACAATAGTCCCATAACATCTGAAGATGATCTGGTTGCCAGACTGTCTGTTGCTGCTGGAAATGTGCGTGACATGCCCGACGTTTTTTACTAATGTACGCCAATCCATGTGCCGCCACTGTGAACCTTGTATCGCTGTTGGTGGTCGCTCTTTTGAGCAGTTATTGTAAACCACTTGATAAATAAATTGTTGCTTTCCTTTGTCTTTATTTGTTTTTTCACTTATCTGTTGTTAGTACTGCCTTACATGCTAGCTCTTCAACACTGCATTTCTGCATCCACATTCCTATACGAAATCTGCTTATTTAGGTCCCTTCTACCTGCCTTTACATTTCTGACATTTAGTTTTGAAACATCCTGTATATTAAGCTAATCAAACCAAAATTATTTATTATAATCAAACAAGTGCCGATTGTCATTTTATAATTTAGCTTGCATCAGAAATGGATATTTCAATGCAAATGTCTGCTGTGAACGTCATTCCAAATTGTTGAAAACTATAGAATATTTCTTTTATATACCAGGACATAATATCAATGTTGAATATTTTGTAGACAGATAAAAAGAACAAGTTTAAAACTGACTTGCTGGAGGGCTCAACAACAGTCCATAGTTAATAAAATCAACATATGAAAATCAATACAAGAATATTTTTTAAATGTGAAATATATATCTTATTTAAATACAATACTATTAAAATATTAGCTGCATTATCAAATACTAAAAGTCAGAAATTCTGTTCAATAGCTTTAAGAAAATCTAAACTTTAACTGATTTTACTATAATTATACTAATACAGAATTAAGCGAACTTATTAAAGTTTTTTTTTTTTTACAGATACTGTTCGTAGAAGAAAGAGTATGTTGTTATAATCATGCCATAAAAATTCATCTCTCTCATTGGAACTCTGCTGGCAGACGCTGCGTTGTATTTCTTATATTTAATAATCAAAGTCAGTGTATATTTCAAAATTTTATCATTGTACATAATGATATTTATATCCATGCCAATATCAGATTCACTTCAGATTCAATCACCTAGTACCATAGAAATGTGCCATTTAAGCATGGATTTAATGTAATGTTCCTGTTTTGTTTTTCTTGTGGCCTTAGAATGATAGAACTGTAAGTACCGAAGACAACCGTCACTGTAAATAACAAAAAATTACACATACATAAATACATACACACACGATTCATAAATACACATATCCAATAATTTTTACAATTTTTATTTGTGTATCTAGCTGTAAATTTACATTGCAATAAATTTATCCTCCTAGAAACATATTAAATTAGCCAAAAGTTCTGCTCAATTGATCATCCCGTATTTGTATTATATCTCATGTCTATAAAGCACAAATATTGTTGCTGCTTGGCATTAATAAGCTTGGTGTTGGAACATATCACGATGGATTAAGGGAACCTACTGCTCAGCTCGCACGAGCACTTATTTTTCGTCCTGCCGGGAATTGACTTTATCCACCCCTCTAGTGTAAATAATTTGTTGTGTCTACAAATTATATTCACCTCTATTCTTTGATATTGTACATAAATATGCTCAATGTTTTCTCCTAGCCTATATTGTTAGTTTTATTCCTATTTCTATTTTCACTTTTCGGGTGCTACGGGCCTGGTCGCCGTATAAGACATTAGCTAATTGGGAAAAAAACTGTATATTTCTACTGTACTTGTGTTATCTGTGATAAATACTTTCTTGATAATTTTTAAAGTTTTAAGAGTTTTTCCCATCTTTATCGCATGAAATCGGTGCTTTTAATTAGATGGGAGTGGAATATATATGTATTCCTGTACGTTGCATAATGTAAATGCAATTTAATATTGTTGACAAGTGCTTGATGTACAGTAGCAACGTTCGAGGTGGCGTTTCGAACCACGGATACAAAGGTAACAGTCACAACGGCATCATGCCATGAAAGGGAAAAGTTTGAGAAAAGGAAATTAATCGTAACCGTACGTAGAAACAGTTGTAGAGTGCCTTAAAGTAAATCTATATGATTTTATATGTAGTCAGATTTTGTACTAGCTTTTTAAACACATTACAAGCACTTATTTATGTACCAAAACTGTATATACGACGAGATGACTTGAAAAATAACAAATCTGAAGATGATTTTGATATTTTAAGCAATGTGTGTTAGCAATATAATATATTTTCTAGTCATCTCAACATTGTCAATCTCCGAATCAAAACTTTTTACACAAATAGAATTTTTGACTATATATATATATTTTCTGTATTTGTAATGTGTGGAGGAATACATTGTTTCTGTATACACAAGCATGTATAATATGCTTGTAATCATTCAGTGACAAGATTTTAACAATTCTAGTGTAAATGGTTGAAAGATTATTATTTTATTTGTTATTATACCGTTGTTTATTTCTTTTAGTGTACTTGTATATATTTTGCCATTATTATTATTGTTGTTATTATATAACAATACTGCAAAAAAGTCCAACGAAGTCTCTACTTTATGTTTTTTTTTTTAATTTTATTTTTTCAGATTTTTTTAAAAATTAGTGCAGCTATCTTATTTTATATGTCACGTTAGCAACTTTGTTTACAACGAAAATAATTCCATTGTTATTTAATTTATAAATAATATATAATCTTCCGTCAATTTTTTGAAAACCATATTTTAATTTATTTCAAAAGCACTGGACATCAAGCACTGATCAGTTTTCTGAAAAAATAAATTTAAAAAAAAATATATATATATTGAAAATGCAACTTGGAATACATCTTATTTTGTTGATTAGAATAGATTCCTTTCAAATATTTTTTACATAATAAAATTTGAGTTTATTGTTATTAATTAGGTAGCATAATATGCTAGAGTCACGTGCCTGTTAATGCTACCGTAGTGGTGCTGATTGTGATAGCCGGAAAGGCTGAAACTTGGTAATTGTGCAGATATAGCAATTCATTCCATTTACAACTTCTACAGAATTTAAATTTAGTAATTAGTTGACACTGTACTTGTTATTTTTCATTAAAAATAAAGTATTACTATACAAATAGTGTGTTTAAATTCTTTTGAAAGTATATGCTGACATGTAATTTGACTTATTAAGCCTGAAGAAATATTTGAAAAAGTAGGACTTAACCTATATTTTGCCAGTGTTGACAATTGCTGCATATCACTTACAGTAACTGAAACATGTTCACAGTTACTATTTTCAACATCATTTACTCTGTATGAAATTTTATTAACATTACACACATTACAATATTGTTTCCAACAAGTAAACTATTAATAATTTATTGGAGGTGTTGATTGCACATCTGGTAAATTTGTAAGAAAGTAAAATCCTTAGTCTAGTTGTGTGTTGATAATATTAAACACACAACTAGACTAAGGATTCCCAACTTTTTTCATGTTTTGGCTCCCTTTCAATAAAAATTTTTCAATTCTTAAATTCCAATTATTAAAAAAAAATTTATAAGTTTTGAAAATGATGTTTTACAATTGATTAAAATATATACTGTTATATTATTTTATTAAAAAATTATCAAAAATATCTAATTTGTGACTTCCCATTCGGGTTGATTACTTTTACAACAACGAGCTAAAAAACTATAGAAAAATATTTTCTTCAAATAAATTGTAATGCTATTAAAAACACTTTTTAAAGACTAATTGATATAACTTGCACACAATATAAAGTCACACTCAGTTGCAATTAAAAAAGTTTGCTGTCAAACCATTGAAAATATCAAATACTTAATTTATCTGCATCACCAAACGGCAAAAAAAGGAACTTTGATATCAGGGAAACACAAGTACATGTCTGGTCCTCTTGAAGCTATCTAAAAAATTTTAGAAAGTTCTCATTTCAAACAATACTTATGTATAAAATAATGGATAGTTTAGAATCATTTTGATTTGAAACAACAGATTTAAGTTTTGCAAATGTGTATTTATATAAAAAATTTTAGTCATTTTCTCAACATAGGGAAAAGTCCAGTGAGGTAGTTTTGAGAACACTTAAGGCAAATTTTTTGAAACTACTTTCTGCACAATATTTGCACAACTACAGAAACAATGCAGGAGTTACCCTGTTTTACACCAATTATGGTGCTGCTCACAGTTGTTTTCCTGTTCTCCATGTCCCTCATTTGCCACTTTTGGGGCATAAAGAGGCATATCCATTTTGGGCATGCCAACACATCTTAATTTGGCTATTTTGATTGGCTGTCTTGTATATTTCCCTTCTAGTTGTACAGCTAGCATTGATGCCCAATGCCAATCTCTTTTTCTCAAGTTTACATTACTATAGATGTCATAATTGCATGTTTGCTGAATATGCATTGAATATAAGTTGCCTTTGTCTAAACAGAAGATGCACACTTGAAGGACTTGAAATTGGCCAACCTTTATTTCCATATTTATCACCTCCAGGTTTCTGTTTTTGATAATTTTATAATCATGTATGCCTACTGTTTGGAAGAATATGCATTTTACCAGTGATATTGGATGTTGTCTTCTGTCAATGTAAATCCCCATCCAATGGCACATAGTGGAAAGATGTGCATAACTGAATCAAAACTGTTCTTGGCAAGAAGGTAGATCCGCAGGAAGACTACGATCCAATTTTTGTTTTGCCCACAGCAATTGTCACTAATGGCAACAAAACATTTTCCTTCTGCACAGATCTCTTTAAAATGTCTTTTCAAATAACTTCAAATTTTTTTGGAGTCTCTCCCAGCTACTGTTTCATTTCAAATAAAGCACAAAGACATGCAATTTCAATGTGCATAACTGTGGGTGAGTCTTCTATGATAAAACGTTGGACCTACTGAAAGTTTTGATATGAGTAATACCTATTGAAAATCAAATGTTGCTACTACTAAATAAAGATAATTTTTAGCCTTTTGTGTGTAATCTTTTATGATAATCTGCCTTTGTTTGATGCACTGCAAGTTCTGTTTCAAGTCTATTCTTATAAGCTTCATTTGTGGCTGCCTGAGTTCTGATAGGCAAAGAATGACACTTGGGAAAAGTGCATACTGTGGAATTTTGAACAAAATATGGTGAATATTCTCATGTACTCATCCTGTTAAACAGGTGCAACATTTTTAAGCTTCTGGCATATCACATACATATTTTCTTCTGAAGCTGCAAGCTTTAAATCCACTGAGTACCAACACACTAATATATAGTGTACTATAAAATAATGTGTGCTAATGATATGCAAACTAGTAATATATAGTTCATTCTGATCTTTTCACTGTGACCGGTGAAGTCAAGTTTAGTTTGAATGTTCTTCATCACGAATATTAAGCTGATATTGCTTAGGGTTGCATAACACCAAGAGGCAGAAAACAAGAAAATAAAATTACATTGCCAAAATCTTGGGACCATGGGTTGCTCACAACTGTTTAAAGGAAGGAGCAAGAAAAAGTAACCACGTCATAAGTTATGCGTCATAAGTTATTGGATCATCTGTTATAGTTTCAATCTAGATATTTGATTTGAAGCACTTGTGTTACAATCCACATACCGTAACATTACTTGTGTAAGTAACAATAACATCTACAAGAAGAATTCAATATTATTTGCATTTGCTCCTAAGGAATTAGTGATTTGTAAGTATCATTCAGCAGTTTTGTACTTTGTTTGGAGAGTTTTTACTCTATTCACATAGTTGTAGAGACTAAACAAAATTGGGCAAGATATATTAAAAATGCACCAAGGATCGAGGATGCTATTGAGAAATTGTTGCATTTCAATTCTTAAATTTGAGAAATTTCATTACAATGAAGAAAAAGAAGCAGAAAGAATTGTTTTTTATTCTGTACTTGAAAGTACAAGCTATGAGACAGATTTACATAAACATTTCATTAATAAAGAGGCAGAATTTTGTAATGTACATGCCAAGTACTGTACATCAAAAAATAGATGAGAATGAAAATATTGTAGCATGTTTGACTGATATGCAACAGCAGATGAAAATTAATGTTTATAATATTTACGTAGAAAGAAAAAAATCAGTAGCAGCTCAAAGAATTTTACAGGAAAACAACAATAATTTTATGAAGAAAACAGCAAAAGGAAAATTGCAATACATACTGTGGAGCAAAAAGATATGCTGCATTTTATGGCATAGGATGCAACCTTTATTCAAGGGGGGAAAAAAACTCAAAAAATACCCATTTATGTGAAGTTGCAATCTCCTATAGGCTAATGAATTTCCTAAATGGCATTCAGTAGGCTACAAATAATCTCTACTCAGACAACTCTTGAATAAAAACATCATTGTTTAATTAAACATTTTATTATTATTTTTTTTATTTTACATGTATTTATATAGAATATTTTAAACTTTCTTCCAAACAAGTGTGTATTCTAATTTTACTTTTTCAGGATATAGTATGGTTGTTACCGCTAAAGCTCGGAAACTCGCTAATCTGCAGGTTAACTAGCGTAATCCATTAAAGTTGCTAAAATTGTTCTATTTCTCAAATTACCTAGGTAATGTGCAGATTATCTAGGTAATCTGCAAATTACCTACTAGGCACTCGGTAAAGTGAAAATAAGATCTTTGCTGAAACAACAGCAACGTTTCTGTACGCTTAAATTAACATAATGTTCTTTATTTAATTTTCGATATCTAAAGAATCAAGTTAATACAATCACACAATCGACAAATTAGTTGATAGAATCAATCATCAACCAATTAAAAAACATACAAAAAAATCAAACGATTTAAAATATTAATACAATTAGGGAACTTATTATATAGATAACCACCTATGGAATTTCGGGACTTTGAGTATCTATCTAAACTGAGGGGACTGAGACGACTTCAACGATACTCT